AGGAACGACAACAGATCGCACCCGACAGTAGAGTCTACGATCTGGTCAATACGCGGCAAAGGGAAAGGATTCTTTTGGCAGGCTTTATTGATATCTGTATAATCAATGCACAACCTTCATTTACCATTTGCCTTGCGCATCACCACTGAATTGGCCAACCATGTCGAGTGGAGCACTCCTCTGACCAAGCCTGCCGCTTCCAACTTCCTGATCTCTTTAATAATGAACTCTTGCCGCTCCTAAAGCTTACTTCCTGACCTTCTGCTTGACGGACCGCGCATGAGGACAGACATCAAGGTGATGCTCAATAACCTCCCGTGGAACGCCGAGGATGTCAGATACTTGCATGCAAACACATTGACATTCGCCTGCAGGAAGGCGACGAGCGCGCTTTCCTATTTGCTGTCAAGGGTGGAGCTTATAGTAAAAGCTTCTCCCGTGCCGTTCTCTTTGACGGGCACCTTCTTGGTCATAGGATTCGTCCATATATATCTTTGTTCAGCCACCATATCTTGTTGTACATCTTCCCACCACCCCACTGCCAAATCTGCTACTCTAATGGCTATTAGTAACGGCTGGTTCTTGGTGTTTGTCTGGGTATGGTCGCTGCTACTGCACTCGCCGGAGCTGAGGATCTCACCATCTCCCACCCATTCTGGCTCCCTGAACTGGAGACGGAAAGATCGTGTGGTCAATTGGATTTTGAGGTCACTTGCTTCAACGACACTCCAGTTCTCCGCAGCTCTGGATTCAGGGCTTTGCGATCATGGACATCTCCTACGAATTTCTTGTACTAATTTCTATCAGGTGGCTGTCACTAATTTCCTGCCTCTTGCTTTCCCAAGATGTGGGTAGGCGTACTTCACCCTAGCCTATATATACTAGTCAAATTGACACGTGCTGCCGGACGTGCTTGTTTGAGTTGGATTTTCTCCGGATATCTTTGCGGCACGATGGTGGCATATTAGCCTTGCTCTAGTTACAGCAGTCTCATTTCTCCCTTCCAAGGCAGAGTACTCTTGCTGGGAAACTATTGCGCATTGCTAGAAGTTTGTTTAACAAGTTGAACTGGTTTGTACAAAGATCAGAATCTACTCCTTATTATAGTTAGCAAACAAGAGTACAAAGTGACAAGGCTAAGCATCCTGCCTCCTGTCACATCACGGGCTCATGGAGGTCATGGTCATGGGTTAGTTCGTCAAAGGGGTATTAGTCTAAAATTTTACTAGTCATTGCTTACTAGTCCGTGGAGGATGATCTCTTGGCCCAAATTTCCAGTCAAATATTCCGGCTCGCTTGCCGTCGTCCCCATATATGGTTCGAGCTTCGACCACTCTATTCTCTCTTACGTGTAGCCTATCTCCCATAGCTCAGGACAACCGATCCAGTCACCCCATTTGTTGTCCACTGCAATCTTTCCAAGTCTGCTGATCCGATGTCTGCAAGCTGCTGGTTCTTCCGGGCCCTGTGGCTACCACTCATGCTCGCCGCCGCAGCGACCGAGGACCAAGGGGGAGACTGCTCGGCCAAGAGGTGCAGCAACCTCACCATTTCCGACCCTTTCTGGCTCTCTGACAAGGAGGCGCCAAGATCGTGTGGTTCCCAAGACTTCGAGGTCGCTTGCCATGATAACAGATTTCCAGGTCTACGGAGCTCCATACTTGGGAGCTTCGGCTTTGCAATCATCGATATCACTTACAAGGAAAACAGTTTGCACGTCGTTGATCGAGGCAATCTGGAATTACTGCAAGCCTCCAACAGCTGCCAAGGGATGATATTAAACATCTCCGTCAAATTGGCCCAACCGTTTAAGATCGACCCCGCCGGCCTGAACCTCATCTTGTACAACTGCACGGAGGAGGCCGCGGCGGCGGCTGTGGCACGCCGGGACAGAGAGCTGGTGCAGATGAGCCTGAGGTGTGGGAACAAGAGCAAGATGTTTGTCCGCACAGGAGTGCGTTACGACGTGACCGGGAACTACGGCCGCTACGCTTTGGAGGGCTGCGACGCTGTGGTCACGCCGATGTTGGGCTCGTTGTCGGGTGAGACGAACGCGAGCGACTATGAGCAGTTCATTAACGATGGCTTCCTCTTGACATGGGATCTAGGTAAGTTCACCCGCCAAATCATCTTTTAATCAAGTTTCTAGCTAGTGCGGTGCCAAATTTTCTAGGATTTGTCTATCGAACTAAGCAACTAAGCATGCCACTCACTAACTCAGGATAAATCTAAGGTTTATTATGCATAATCGTGCGGACGTTCATCGTATAGTCGGGGAGTGCCTAAGAGCATCTCTACCCGATCCCTTATAATTTAACTCATTATATGCTTTATCAAACTTGACTCCTTAAGATGTGAGAAGTTAAATTATGGTCGGACCCCGAGCCCTCAACTTTAACTTGTCAAATGAATTGATCCCGTATGAAAGTCTCTCTCTCTCTCTCTCCATCTTCCTTCCGACGACTAGCCTGGGCGGGGACAATGGTGGCTCTCTCCCGAGGCTTGGGAAAGCGAGGGAAGGCTAGACGCACACATGCAAAAGCAGCACAAATGCGCGTGTGCGCGGGCACATACGCAGCGATGGAGGCAGAGTACTATGTGGCCCATGGCGTGGAGGGCTAGTCGACGCAGGTGTGCGCCCCTGCGCCGCCTCTTCACGCTTTCGTGGCGCCTGGAGGGTGGGAGTGTCCGCGTGTGGTAGGACGCTCATGTTTAGGATTGACGGCTATGACAACGACATCTGCTTGACGTTCTAGTCCACTGCCATGAGCACCAGCACAAGTAGTGTGCCATCGAGGCGGCCCGACTTGTGAATCGCCCAAGTTCGTCCAAATAGCCCATGACCAAGGCTTGTGATTCTGCCAAGCCCTTTCTATTTTTGGAATCTTGAAACGTATGCACATAGATAATGAATATCAAGGCATATTGTTTACTACAGTGAAAACACATGGAGAAGTGCTAGAATTTTTTTTAGTTACACCACGTGGACGTATAATTTTCTTTCAATCAAATTTTTTAGCAGATGGTTGCATGGATCAATTGATGCAAAGTTCTATGGGATGGTTTAACCTCCTTTTCGATGAAAACCATTAAATTTTAACAAGACAACTCAACAGAAGTTTGCTTTGGAATTGGGCACAAGGTGGCTGGTAGAAAACATTCTTGGAATTCTAACACTAAGATTCAAAAATGTTTTACAGAAAGAACTCTAAATACTAAATTGCATGTTTTATAGGAAGAATTGCAAGCACTTGCATTTTTGTATGTTTGAGTTTATTTTTTAGAAAATGGTGTTGGATACCGTTAATTACATGCCAAGTGTGAAGGCTGTACCGAGATTAGAATCTACTAGCTTGCTAGCAGACAAGAGCACAAAGTAGCCGGCCGGGACCAAAATAATCGGGCCAAGCATCCCGGTTCCAGTCACATCACGGGCTCACGAAGGTCATGGTCATGGCTTGCCCCTTCAAAGTCGTTATATAAAGCCATGGCTTACCAGTCCAGCGGTCAACTGGGGAATTTCGTGGGGGATGATCGCTAGGCTGAATTTTCCAGTCAAATATTCCGGCCAATGGGTTGCATATATGGTTGGAGCTTCAACCATGCTATTCCCTCTTACGTGTAGTCCATGTTCCCATAGCCCATGTCCACCGCACCGATCCAGTCATCCTCTTTGGCTACGTTGTGCGGATACTTCAGAAAGTATGTATCCAGCCGGATACTGTCCCGATACGGTCCGATGCATATCCCGTAAGTATCCTTCGATTTTTTTATTTTAAGAAAAAAAATATTATTTGATACTCCTGGGATACTTCCGTGATACTTTTTGGATACCTCAAACGCCTTGTTCGATGTGAAATCCCCTCAATAGTACAGGTGCACCTTTTGAAGATTCCCAAGATGGGCGTGAGTTCATGTCAAAACATGACTTGGCAACATTCTTATTCAATTGAATGGTGAGCAAGAGAGAGTCGATGCACTGATTGAAACAACAAACCTTAGAAAATCCGAGTGCCAACAGATGAAAGTGGATCAAGTGCAAGAAAAGAAAGGGGATACTCCTATTGAGGCATGCTTTGACCTGGAAGCTCCTTATTTTTCCCATATTTTTAATAATTAATATATGTAATATCTATATATAAACATATCCCCGTACCCATGTTTTTAGAAAATTGGCGTATCGAGCATATCTCCGTATCGCATATCCGATACGTATCCAAGTATCCATGAACGTAGCTCTTTTTTTTTTGCGAGAGAAATTTCCAATCTATTCATCAATCATGGCAGTACAGAGAACACAAGAGGTAATAAAAATTACAACTAGGTCTATGGACCACCTAGCGACGACTACAAGCACTGGAGCGAGCCGAAGGCGCGCCACCGTCATCACCCCTCCATCACCGGAGCCGGGCAAACCTTGTTGTAGTAGACAGTCGGGAAGTCGTCGTGCTAAGGCCCCAAAGGACCAACACACCGGAGCAGCAACCATCGCCGATGAAGAGAGTTGTAGATTGGAAAGATCAAACCTGGAACCACACGAACGAAGACAAACAAAAACTGGATCCAAAGAGATCCACCGAAGACCAGCACCGACCGAATCCCATGAGATCCGACGGAGACACACCTCCACACATCCTCCGACAACGCTATTCGCACCATCGGGACGGAGATAGGACGTGGGAGACATTATTGCTACGGAGGGACATCGCCGCCGCCAAACAGCGCCAACCAAGACGTTCAACCTAGCAAAAACAAGAACGGGGTCCCTCCCGCCAGCGGGGGGGCGAGATCCTCCGCACCTCCATAGGCCAAAGGCCATCGGAGGCGGGGCGGATCTGCGGCGGCGCCGACGGGAGGAGGAAGGAGACGTTTCTTGTGGAGGAGGAAAGGGTTCTCTAGTCAAGCCGTTTGGATACGACAATGGTCCACCTGGACTTTTAATTATTGTGCCTCATGAACGTAGCTCTTTGGTGCTCAATCTTTCGAAATCTTCTTCTTCGATGGCTCCCAGCTGCTGCTGGCTCCTTGCCTTCGCCTGGGTTTGGTGGCTGCCACTGCTGCTCGTAGCGGCCGAGGAGGCTCGAGGGGAAGGCTGCTCGGCCAAATGCGGCAACGTCACCATCTCCCACCCGTTCTGGCTCACTGACATAGAGGCGGGAAGATCATGTGCCCCTCCAGACTTCGAGGTTACTTGCTTCAACAACAGTTCTCCAGTTCTGCGGAGCTCTATACCCTTCAGTTTTCGTTTTGCAATCATCAACATCTCCTACGAGGAAGACAGATTGCATGTCGTTGATGAAGGGAAAATGCAAATACTGCCAACCTCCAATAGCTGCCAAGTACCTCCGTCAAACTGGGCCACCCCTTTCGGGTCGACCCGGGCAGCCTGAACCTCACCTTGCACAATTGCACGGAGGCCCAGTAGCAAAATGACTTTATGAAACTCAGACTAGTGGGCCTTTTATATTTTTGGGGCAATTCCGGCCTTCTTTGCTTGTTAGTTTTTTTTTTTTGAGAATTGGCGCTTTACTCGTTAGTGTTTTTTAATTATATTCTGAGTTAACGCTGGCTGGCGGGCCTGCCACTTGTGCAACCCACTAATGCATTCTTTTGTATTCTTAAAAATATGATATACCTATTTATTTAAATAAATATGACCGTTTTAATGAAATAAGTGTAGTTAGATGTTTATTAACACCAGTGAAAGTGGGTACACAACAAGTGGCTTTTGCATAGTTAGTCTGAACTCTGAGCTTCTGAAGTCTGCACTATGGCCAAAATAGTGTATATTCACCTGTTCAGGTCTATAATCCAGTGAGAGCCCAGTCAGAATTAAACTTTTAGACATATGATTGTTTTGAAACTTTTGGCCGAATGCCAGTGCCTTGGACCAAAATGGTGGGTGTTCCTGTTCATCGCTTTATGCGATGGATAGTCGGTACAACGCGCTATGGTCTCACGCTGAAGTTGGGACAGGCCCATCACACTTGGTACCATGTGATTTAGCGACAATCTGTCGCAACGAGTGATGAATACGAATTTCCCACAATGACGAAGTCCGGTTTGGGTAGCCCGCGGACCGTGTTATGAACCTTGGCTGTGATCTTCCAATGCCTCTGACTAAAAAAGATTGTCAAATCTAAACCACATATCTATCTAAATAAAATTTGTTCCCTAAAACAATCTGAATAAAATGTGTGTACTCTAGCTTTGAACTGGAATTCTCCCATGCAAAAACAGAAATTTGGATGCAATAAAAAAAAGCAACCCAGTTAACGATCATGCTATAGAACCTTCTTTTCTATTGGATACTGTAACCAGTAACCGTGTCATCCCTAAAAAAAACAGTAGCCTGCCAAGTGTAAGAAAGATTTGCATTTGGCTGTTATTTCAGCGGCTAGATTGCTGTTAGTCTCTGTTTTGCAAGGCAGAGTACTCTCGCCTCTGTTTGCTCCTTTTTGGACCCTGTAACTTCGTGTTAAGTTGTGGCTGTTTACCTAAACATGACACCTGGTTTTCACCAAGAAAAAAAAGACTCCTGATAGCTTTTTTACCTGTATCCGTAGATGTTTTATCGCTTTCAGTTCAGAGCCCGGGTGCTTTGTGCTCCTGTCTGTAAACAAAGAGTACAAGTGGGCAGAGTTTTATATTAGTAGCACCGGGTGGGTGCTCATGAATTGGTAGTCCTAGAATTAGCGTAGGGCCGACGACTGGATCAGCCTAGTTTGAACTCTGAACCCTGAAGCCTAGCTTGGTACTAGTAGTCTAGTACCCACACTGATGGACAATGTCTGATCATAGCATCAATTTTGGTGCCATTTGGTGTCAATCGGTACTACTCCCTCCGTCCCATAATATAAGTGCGTTGTTGAAGTGCTCTTATATCACGGGACAGAGGGAGTATATTTTTACATTTTATAGTTAGTGAGACACACTCGTATTGTCGTAGGTGTACATACGTTCGCTTGCATTGACCAGCACGCATGGGGTTTACTAGTCCGTGCATACATTTCACGGGTTCACTCGTGAAATTAATCATTTTGTATCGACTTCCTAGGAACCAAACAATCTAGCCTCATATTCCGCTTCTGCCGGACCATGCAAAGTTAATGGCGGGTTGGCAAGCCGTCGCCGTCCCCGTCGGCATCGCCATGGCGGCCGCTCCACGCCGCCGCCGCAGCATCCCCGAAAAGAATTTCCAAACGAAATAGAGCATTGACTCTGACCGGTCAAGCCGCTCTGGCCTCCGTCATTTTTTTCCCAAGTCGCACATCCCACCCTCCGTTCTGTCCCGTTGCTTTGCTCCTCCTTGTTAACTACTAGTCATCTCGCCCGCTCCGGTTGGTCAGCCGCTCCGCTTTCCATCCCCAACTATCCCAATCCATGCCGCCGTTCCAGCCCCTCCTCCTCCTTCTGTTTCTCTCTTCTTTTCTCCGGCTGCCGCCGCCGGCGGGTGCGGCATGCTCGCCCAAGAGATGCGGCGACCTGAACATCAGTTACCCGTTCTGGCTGGAGGAGAACGGCCAGACACCGTGCGGGTCCCCGTCCTTCCAGCTCAACTGCAACGGCAGTCAGGCTCTCCTCAGCCGGTCCATGTTCGGGGGCTACCAGGTCGTCCAGGTCTTCCCCGAGAACTCCTCCTTCGTCGCCGTCGACAACAACCTCCCGCTCGACGACGGCTGCCCCAAGTGGTGGTTCAACATCTCTGTTGGCATTGGGCTGGGTCCGTTCGTCATCAGCAAGAAGAACATGGAGCTGCTCGTACTCGACAACTGCACGGAGCAGCAGGTGACGCCGCCGGGGTTCAGCCGCACGCGTTGCGCCGACGAGTCCTTCTACCGCCTTGGCGGGGAGTACGGCACCCATCTTGACTATCGGGGGGATCTGCCCCCGGCCTGCCGTCTCTCCGTCGTGCCGGTTCTTGGTTTTCCGGGCGGCGACGGTTACGTCCCGAGCATGAGGCAAGGGTTCCTGCTTGAGTGGACGGTGCCGTCGGACGATTGCCCCAAGTGCGAGGCAAGCGGCGGACAGTGCAGGTATGCCAACGACGGCACCGGATTTTCCTGCCATTGCTCCGGCGACGTGTACCCTGAGAAGTGCGGTGAGTTGACGAAAATTAACTGACTGCGCCACCATGATTTTGCCTAGTCAATCACTAGTTCTTTGATCAAGTAATCCGTTGCTGACATTCCTCTCAAAACTTCAAGTGCTAGTGACCGATTCAGTAACTCCAAAAATGCCTGACGTAGGTAGCAATTTGATACTGCATCTGATATAGAATTGTTCTCAAGAGTAAATTTTCTGCGTTTTCGGTCGCTGTTGCTAGGAGGATTAGAGAACACCGATTGGACACGGATATTGTTGTTCTTTCAACTCTTGAGTGCTTCCTTGGTTTCTTGGGGCTATTACTGTATTTTGTTTTTGGTAGTTAGTGATAAAGTCAGTCCATTGATTGAGAGATTGGAGCCTATCGATTCCTAGTCAAAATGCATTTGTCGAATTAGTCAACAACGCTATTCAACAAAGATGCCGTGCCGGCGGTAACGTGCTCCTGGTTTTGTTCCAAGTAGACTATTCCCAAATCGCCGATCAATGCTCTTACTTTTATGTGCCCCGGTCTGTATTTAAAACATGTGGAAGTCAATGCTATTGCAACTGTTTGTTGTGGAATTAGGGGTGTAAAGTTGAATTGGGCACCGGGGTTAGTTTCAGTGGATACTTAGATACAGATGTATATAGACATAGACTTTAGAGTGTAGACTCACTCATTTTGCTTCCTATGTAGTCAGCATTGGAATCTCTAAGAAGACTTATATTTAGGAACGGAGGGAGTAGGATACATTGCCACCATCAATTGAGAGTCTGAAATTTAACTGTTGCTGGATTTTCCTAATGAACCAGTCATAAAAGGGAGTTCGACTTTACGAGAAGCTGCCAAAGTTAGCAATGCAATACCGATTCGGCATGAATAAAGTTATTCTCATTTGTCAAGTGACTACTACATTTCTTGTTTATTACTTCATAAACCGCAAAAACATTTACAGACACTTTTTATGCAGGGGACAGTGGAAAGACAAGTATAAAGTTCATAATAGGTGAGTGTAATCAACTGTCAAGCTGCTCGGCCCATCCATTCCTTCGGTTCTTGTTTCCTTGCTCCAAATTGTAACATAGTATGGAGAATATGGGGGTGAAATCTCATGATGAAGAATTAATCAGATCATTTGTTTGCTTCATGTTGCTAATGTGTGATATTGTTGTGAACAGTTGGAGCGGTAGCCGGTTTTGCTGCATTCTTGGCATTTGTCTTATTTGCTTTATACCAACGAAAGAAGAGCATACAAGCTGTAGCTTCAAATGAGTTCACGCGAAGTGGATCTTCAATGACGGCATACAGTAAAGACCTTGAGCTGGGTGGTTCACCTCATATTTTCTCTTTCGAGGAACTCGAAGTGGCTACTGATGGATTTAGTGCTTCAAGGGAGCTTGGTGATGGTGGCTTTGGAACTGTTTATAAAGGTAAAACACATGTTTGCCGAACGCGCTTGTCAATCTTAACTTGTCAAATTGCATATGCTAGGAGCTCTGTTCTCAAGTCTCAATTGTACTCTTTGATAAAGTTATCAACTTAGACAATGACAACTCTGACATTTTTGTCATTCAGGAAAACTCAAAGATGGGAGAGTAGTTGCAGTAAAACGCCTCTATAAGAACAACTACAGACGGGTTGAGCAGTTCCTGAACGAGGTAGATATCCTGTCCCGCCTGCTCCACCAAAACCTTGTCATCCTTTATGGCTGCACGTCTCGGATGAGTCGTGACCTTATCCTGGTGTACGAGTTCATCGCAAATGGGACGGTCGCGGACCATCTTCACGGATCCCTTTCGGCAGAACGAGGCCTCACATGGCCTCTGAGGTTGAACATTGCCATAGAAACGGCTGAAGCACTGACCTACCTCCATGCGGTCGAGATCATACATCGTGATGTCAAGACGACCAACATATTGCTTGACAACAACTTCCATGTCAAAGTTGCAGACTTTGGGTTGTCGCGCCTGTTCCCACTGGAGGTCACCCATGTCTCCACTGTTCCACAGGGCACACCGGGCTATGTCGACCCGGTGTACCACCAGTGCTACAAGCTGACCGACAAAAGTGATGTGTACAGTTTCGGTGTCGTGCTGGTGGAGCTGATATCCTCAAAGCCTGCTGTGGACATGAGCAGGAGCCACAGTAAGATCAACCTTGCCAACATGGCTCTCAACAGGATTCAGAACCATGAAGTCGTTCAGTTGGTTGATTCGGAGCTCGGCTACGACACCGACCCCGAAACAAAGAGAACAATTGACCTAGTGGCCGAGGTGGCCTTCCAGTGCCTGCAGATGGAGA